CTATGAGTACACATTGCATTAAATTTTTAACACCGATATGACCGCGGCTCGCTAATCTCTGCGGCCACGTGTGAACGACGAGTGGGTTACAAATTTTGAAGTTAAACACAGAGACAGAGCGGAATATAAACTGTCTGCTGTAAGAAGGCGTGAATTATTGTTTGTTTAAAAGTATTATTTTATGTATATAGTTTATTTAATATTAAATGAAAAATTAAATGAAGAAACAAGAGACTGATAGTAAAAATTATACTTTACACAAGTATCACTAAATACAATTCTTTGCCGTAGCACCTTTTCAATTACAATTGAAATAGAATACTATAACACGGGATAGAGAAATATTTTTTTTAATCGTATTGTTGTGTCAACAGTGACCAGGTCGATGAAAGCGATTAAAATTCGTAAAGATTAAATCAAAGATGAGATTAAGTTATCTTAAAGATTCGATATAAATAAAAAAAACATAATGTTTCATTAATCGTTGTTTCTACACAATGGATTTGTCTTCTCAGATGTTTGTTTTGTTTACATGGCTTATGACCGCAGGTGGCTGGTACACTGGTGACCTCGGCAACGTGGGGTCGCGGGTTGTGTTACATAACCATAACATCGAGGTGAACATGGAGAACGTAAACTGGTAAAATGCGTACAGTTAATGTTCATTAATTATTCGATGCTTAAAGTTTAATATAAGTAATATTAAACTTTAAGCATTGAATAATTAATAGATACATTTAATTCCTTCCTTTATTTGAAGACGTGTTCCCTTTAAATCTAAATTAAAAAAGAAAAGAAAGTTGTAAAAAATAATTTATGAGTGAACCACAGAACACGTTTAAAACCTTATTTAGAAGAAAATTAGCATAAAATACAGTAGGGTATATAATTTATTGCAAGTTTGTTAAAGTTATACACATGAAGAGTTCTGATTTACTTGCCGATTGAAAACGCTTACCTGTTTACGGGACCTGCTTTTTACCTACATATTACGACATATTACGCAATACTCGAACAAAACAACATTTGTATGAGATTAATAAGGTGTTAAAGAACAACTTTAATTCCGAAAGCCATATCGAAATATTTACCGTTTCTGAGTTATAAAGCGAAAACTTTCAAGGGCTCTAGATCCCTAATTATAGGGGCCAGCCCCTTTTAAATGATATCAAATGAAAGCTCTTGCTATTATGCACAACTTTTATTCTACATGTTTTAACAAAATATTTTTAGTTTTAAAGATATAAAGGAAAATATGTCAAAATTTTTGCTCTTTTCCGCGTTCTAACTTTTGACCCCTCTCTAGCACCATTTTAATGCAAAAAACAAAAACCGATGTGCACAACTTCAATGCTTCTTCTTTTCAATTTCAAAGGGTTTTGTGCTCCAATTATTACAGTTTCAGAGCCTTTGTCTGGAAACCAGAGGCATAAAAATTTCAATCAAAGGGGAATAACTCGTGAACAGAAGGTAATTTCCGAATTGTATTACAATATTCTGAGAGTGTTTAGTAAAGTCTAAAAGCTCTGAAAATTTGAACAAAATCCGTTCAGAAATGAGGAAGATATGAAGCTTCAAAGTTGGCGTCTAGGAAAAAAAAAAAAAGAATAATAAGAATAATCTTAACCATCAGAATCAGTAGAAGGTCTTCCGTTGGAAACGGAAGACCTTAATGAAATACACGTTTATATCATTCTTGGGAGTTGTGGTAGAATTTTCAATTTTTTTCGGGTAAGATTATTTGTTTTCATGCCAGTGACGGACAGATTATTTATTTCCAAGATGATGGGGACATATTATTTATTTTCTTCTCCACGGAAAAAAAGTTTGACGAACAAAAAAGGAAATTCATCAGGTTAAAGTTTGGGAATGAATCTAACAAAGCATGCATTAAGACGTCAAAATATTATATAATTATCTTCTTTACGTATTGGTATCTTATATAGCAGATAAGCAGTTTGCATGACCTTATGAACCATAAATTAGCTATGTTTTCTATAGTGTACTATATATATCGGCAAAATTATTCGGGGGGGGGGGGGGGTTCTACCCGGTTCCTATGGATACACAATAGACTCCTATTTTTTATTTTTTAGACTTGTGATGCAGATGGGATTTTGATTCTAAAACTTAAATTCAAAATTAATAGATTGACATCAGTGTTATAATACTACTGCATCAATTGTTAACTAGCCTAAGGAAATAACATCAAGAGTATTACAATTTCCAGTTAAATATGCTATTCCTCTTGCAGAGAATAGATTGAAGTGTGTTTCTGTAAGGAAAACTTCTATGTACAAGTTTTCTCTCTTAAATTTAATAACATAACATTCTCTCTTTTAATAGATGTCATTTATATACATGTACGACTATGACGAAGAACAACCTATAATTGTTTTTGACTTCGACATCTTTAGTTGTTTTAACTACACGGAGCCTGTAACTTAAAACCACCAACCGCAACCACCACCGTAGTCTCTTTTTTGCTATTTCATGGCTGCTTATCGATAACAAAAGTATACTTTTAATTAAATTTACGATAATTACTACGCCATTAAGGACACATAACACAAACAAAAATTTGAGGCCTGGATCGATATATATTTTTTGACCGATTTTGAATAGAAATGACATAAATAATAAATCCCTAAAATATAAAGAAATCGTATATTTTCTGTGCTTAAATGTGCGACTTTATTTTTTTTCTATATAATTCTTTACAAAATTTGCATATAATTTTAACATTTCGACAAAATCTTATAAAGTTCTCTCACTTTACCTGGTAAACATTATTCAGCTTACTTATTTGAATATAAATCTATCAGAAATTTTGTTGATTTCTAAAAAGTTTGTTTGTGCTATTTATCCTTAAAATCTAAATATAGTTTACGGACATCATCTCATACCAAGGGTAATACTTAAGGAGTAAGTATGAACTGTTGCAGGCTTTTTGTAGTTTATTCGCAAATTTTATACGTATATATTTGAGTATGTATCCATTTGAAATTTGCTATGTATATTGATGAAAAATGTAATAAAGTGTAGTGAAAATTTTAGAACGAAATGTTTTTTCGCTCTAGACGACTTCTCCAAGATTTTACCGGACAACTCTCGTATAATGTCTAATGCCAGACTGTTATGCCCGAAACCTAACTAGGGACAACACGTGTGTTCTTAGTTTAACAACTTTAATAATAATAATATATTGTATCACTAACCCGATCAAATTAGCATATCAAATAGTCATATTTTACATCTCCCTTTCTTTAGAAAGTGTTGAGATGTGAGTGATACACCTTTAGAACCCGAATAAATCAAGGAAACAACAAAAACGAAATTTTAACAAAATTTAATAACAAAAGTAAATTTTTTACAACAAAAACAAATAAAAATAATAGAAATGAAATGTCTATCTGCAGACCGTCCTGGGAAGTGTCCTGAAAGTGTGGTTAACTGATTACAGCACCTCCGTTTAACATTTTCATAATTTTTTCTGTAGAATTTCCTCTCACGTACATGTATTTTCACAAATGAAATTGAATATAAATTCACAACTAATACATAATTCACTGTTTTCTGAACTTTCACAATGCTGTTTGGATTATCTTTGGGTTTAATTGACATATTTTCAAAGAGTTGAATTCTTTCTCCAATATGAATTTAAACACATAGGCTAACTTTTAGATTTAAACACATGCCTTTTAGATGCTGGTCCCGAGTTGTCTGTCGGGGCTGCCGTATCTTGTGCTGTTGTAACTGCATAACCAAGACTCTCTCTCTCGCCCTGGACTGGCTATTGTAACTGCATAACCAAGACACTCTCTCTCGCCCTGGACTGGCTATTGTATCAGTAATTCAAGTACCCCGCCCAAGACCTATGTCATTTAAGAAACGGGACGAAAACCCAAGGAAATAGGACCCTGGGTAAAAATAGTAAAAAGACAACCATACTAAATGTGTAGATTCTAACTATATAAACATATTTTACAAATTAACATTTTCATTTCCGTAAATACCTGATGTACTTTTGAGCACCCGCCCCGGCTACTTCGGAACAAGCCAAACATGTCTAATCGTGGCTGTAACTTCCCGGGTACTACCCGAACACGAGCTCTCATGTAGAAAAAATTGCTAATCGAAGGGCTCCCCACAGGATAAGGACCAATATTTATTATCACACGATAGGGGTATCTGAAGGGCAAAATTTAGTTCGTTACAGAAATATAAATCAATATGAAATCAAAATTCAATGCAAATATAAACATGAAATGAAATGAAGTAAGTTTTGACTCGTCAATTTAGGCATTCCGTTAATTAGCAATATTCAATAAGACAACTTCGGGAATAATTAAAATAATCAATTGCATGAAATAAGCCTATTTACTGAGTTCACAAATGTCAGTACACAACAGATCAGAGGTCTAGGTGGTTTGGTTTCTTCACGACACGACCGTAAGAAGAAACAACTGGTTTAAGTGGATCCGCAACTATGGCAGCGTTGGGAGAGTGTTTGTTCAGTGTGTTTGGAGGTTCGCGCGTATCAATCTCAGAATCACTTCCTGTATCTGGTTCTTGTTCCAGTTCTAGTACAGGGATTAGCATTAGCGTTTGTTCATCTGAGATGTTTTCCGTTACGTCTGAGCCTCTGATTGTTGTTAAACTCAACGACGTAGGATCTCGGCTGTTTGTGAAGCTCAACTATACTGTTGCAGGTTTCCACCCTTTAGTGTTTGAGTTTTCAGGGGGTGCAACTCTTACTGGATCACCAATAATTTAAGCACGGTAACTCTTTCACATGCCTCCTATCATAGTAGAACTTCTGCTTCTCCTTGATATCTTTCATTTGTTGATTTAGATAAGGTCCTGTGTTTCTGGATTTAAGCAGCTCTGTTCGGGTTGGCAAGTTGTTTCGTGGTCTGCGGCCCATCACAAGTTGTGCCGGTGATAGGTTGATCGACTCCAACGGTGTTGTGCGGTAGGTCAACAAGCTGAAATATTTATCAGCTGACTTTCTCCATAGTTTGACTGTCTGTATTGCTCTTTATGCTTCTCCATTTGGAAATGCGGACTTGATGTGGTGTTCCGTACTGGTCACAAAACAAATGGAATTCTCGTGAAGTAAATGGAGGCTCATTGTCGGACAGTAGTTTCATTGGAATCCCAAGACAGCTAAAGGTAGCTTTCATAGCATTGACTACTGCTGATGTTGTTGTGGATTTCAGTTTAAGGTCAGACGATACGTTCCTGAATTATCGGTTTTGTATATCTTCGTATTGTATGGAAAATATTCCAAATTTTAATTACCTTCTGATTTCTAAACTTGTTTCTATTTGTCTTTAAAAAAAAAATGAAACACTAAAAAAATGTGATATTGGCAAATTAAGTTTTTTCCTAATGGATTTTATAGGAAATAACATCCTCTGGTATCTTGCACAAATGCCTGGCAAGGTACCTCAATTTTTTGTGAGTAAACATGTTAAAGTAGCAATACTTCAATGATAAATTCTTAGAAAAAATTATATATTATTGAGGAACGTATCGTCTGTCCTTAATTGCGTCAAAGTATCTGGAATGGTAGTCAACTATCAAGATATTAAGATACTTCATCTGTTTAAAGTCGAACAAATCACACCAAACTTCCCCATAAGGAATATCAGGAGTATTTGTTGGCTTAAATGGATCACGACTCTGTTTGTTCTGGTAAATGGCACATTTTGAACAGTTCCTGACTTCCTCTTCTATGGCTGTATTCATGGCGGGCCAATACATGACCTTTCTTGCTCTCTGTTTGCACTTGACTCATACATTAGTTTCAGCATGTGGCTTCGTCGACTTGGAAGTATAACGATCTTCAATCCTTTGTAGACTATGCCATCTGTGACAGTCACTGACTGATAACAATCTCTAGAATCCCAGTACTCTCTGACACTGAGAGCTGTCTCATTTAATATTTGGCCATCCATGACCATCATGCTACAAAGCTCTTAGAATTCTATTCTGGTACGATGGACTATGTCTAAGAAGCGATCTGGAGTGACATCTAACATACGGATGTTTTCAAGAATCTCCAACTCTGGATCATTCTCAGGTAAGTACTCTCTGGAAAGAGCATCAGCTACTGCAGGCCTCTAAAATTTAGACGCCAGCTGGCGCCTTATCAAAAAAATTTAGTCGCCAATGCCAATTTCTAGTAGCCAGGCAATTTTTCTGAGGCGCTAACTTTAAAAGTAAATAGAATATAGGGACCCATGACGTGCCTAAGAAAACATGACATGTCCATTGCTAAAAATAATTTCCTCTAGTTTTAAATTTCTTTTCTTTTTTTCAGAAAAATTGTTAAAAATGTGAAAATTTCCGGAATTCCATCAATTTAAAATGGTCGCCAATTTGGCTACTTATTGAAAAAAATTAGGCCGCAATCAAAAATTTGAGGCGCCATGGCGACTAAATTAGTCGCCAATTAGAGCCCTGTACTGTCATATTCTTTCGAAGATCATTCCCAGTGGCTTATGGTAATTGTAGACAACTGTTTCTTTTCCAAATATATAACAATGGGATTTTGTTCCTGCAAGGACAATGGGCAGGATCTCTTTCTCTATATGCGCATAGCGCTTCTCTCTGTCTGTGAGCGAGCGAGATGAATATGCGACCGGGCGTCCTCCTTGGATTAGGACTGCTCAAAGTCCAGCCTTTGATGCACCGCATTGAATCTCCACTGGCTTCTTGAAGCACCGGTTGTCTACTACAAAGTCTTCTGAGTTCATTGAAGCAGTTTTCTTGCTCATGATGCCACATAAATTCTGTTTCTGACTTCACTAGTACTCTGAGTGGTGCATAAACTTGACTCAAATTTGGTATAAATTTGGCTAAATACTGAACCAGTCCTAAGAAACGTCTCATTCCTTCCTTATCCTTTGGCCTTGGCAGGTCAACTAGAGCTCGGACTTTGGCCGGGTCTGGTTTAATGTCATTCTCAGTAATCAAGTGTCCTACAGACCTGCGGCTGTCTGATTTCACATTTGTCATAATAAGCTTGAGGTTATACTGTGTAGCTCTCTCAATCACTCTTCTGAGTACCTGATCATGCTGTTCTAAATCTCTTCCTCCTGTAAGTATGTCATCCATCACTGTTCCTGCACATTCTATCCCTTCAAGCATCTGATACATGCTATGTTGAAAGATTTCAGGACCTTATTTAATGCCAAATGGAAGACACGGCCATCTGTACCTTCCTTTTGGAGCATTGACGGTTGTTAGGTGTGATGATTTCTCATTCAGCTTAATTTGGGGGAATCCTGACTTAGCATCTAGCTTGGAGAAAACACGGGCATTTGGTATGTTTGAAACGATATCCTCGACTGTTTTCATAGGGTGGTGAGCTCTCTTCACAACTTTGTTCAGGTCGGATGGGTCCAGACAGATTCGAATCTTATCGTTCCTTATGGATACGACAATTGAACTGATCCATTCAGCTGGGGTATGTACTTTCGTAATATAGCCGTTCTGTTCCATCCTCTTTAAAAGCTTTTCGATGATCCTTGGTTTAAAAGATGCGGGCTGTCTACGAGGTGCATGTATGACTCCCTCGGCGTCTGGATCTATTTCAATGTTGTGTTCTCCAGGCAGGGTTCCTGACGTTTTAATGAGCTCGGGAAAGTCTTTGAACTTGGATTCTGGTTGATTATCAATTCTGTTATCTAGTTTCTGTTTTCTTCCAATCAGATTTAGTTTTTCTGCGACATCACCACTGATAATGTTCTCTTGCTCCAACTCTACAATTTCGAATTGTGCATTCACTTGTTTTTCCTTATGTTTGATTGGAAGGTTAACACTGTATAACTAGGACGGATCCTAAGATTCATGTAGGATTTGAGAACTTTTGTGCTCTTGTGATATCCAAGAGAGTCGAACACTGATTTCACAATAATTGAAGACTTTGCCCCAGTGTCTATCCTGAATTTAACAGGTTTGGTGTTAATGGTTGCTTTTACTACCCAATTGTCATTAGCTATAGAACTGTCAGGTTGTGCACTGTATATTGGAAGTACATCTTCATCTGAAGAATTGGTTTCACTATCTGTCTCCTGTAGTGCGTTAACTCCTTTTGTACGTTTTCGGCACACGGCTATCCAGTGGTCCTTCTTGTGGCAGTATTTGCACGTTGATCCGATTGCCGGACACTGACCTGATTTTGCATGGCCTTCTGTTGGGTCAAGCCCACATCTATTACACTTTTCATGTTTTGCTTTCGGTTTGTAAGGCTGTCTCTTGTGTCTTGTTGTTTTGTGACGAGGTTTATGCTTATACGCCTTTTTCTGTACAGCGTATACCTTGTGAGACCTGTTGAGTAGCTGTCTGATCCTCACATCCTCGAATAAGTTTAAGCTGTTTCTGCGAGTTTTCACGTTTTCATACTGACGAACAATAGTGAGAGCTTTTGCAGGTGTAAGATCACTACCTTAATCCCAAAGTCTTGTACCTTCACGTCTGACTCCTCCTATTATGGCGTCTATCAGGACGTCGTCTGGGTTTGCATATTCACAATGATAAGCTTTAAGTCTCTAACAAATGGCTCACTCTCACCTTGTTTTCTCCGTTTCACTTTGAATCAGGCTGCTCGTTTATTTATCCTTGGGCGGACATATGCCTCGAATTTGTCGAGAATTTTGTCGGGTTTTTCCTCGTCCCCGGAGTCCCTCTCAAATGTTTTGTATACTTCACGTCCTTGTTTACCGACCCAGATTCCTAGCCATCCTGCTCGGTCTTTGACTTTAGCAGATGTAAGTGGTCTTTTAAATACAAACTGTATGTGCTGTTTAAAGCGACAGAATTCTTGATACATGTCTAGTGCTTCCCAGTCTAAGCGCGGCGGGTCGAACTGTGCAGCGGCGGCCATCTTGAAATTTCACATACACTGACCTGAAAATCCGAGGTTTTTTGAAAATTCTAACATTCGTTTCTCTTGGAAACGGCAATTAACTTATGCGAAAGGTCCTGATTGACTTTTACTTTTCAATCGTCAACTTCCCTTACTTATGCAGCAATATACCCGTATCACCTGCCTATCGGGAATATATCTCTCAGTTGATTCGATAAGCAAGAGCATGCTCTACCTATGAGGAATTTCTAAAACGAGGTAAGTTATTGACAAACAAGTTGATGAATTAAGAATATCAATAGTCTCTATTTACCGATCATGACAAGGAGCACACGGCGGACGTGACCGATCGGCAGGGGATGCTCACTCCTCCATGTCACCTGATCCCACCTTTAATGTTTTTGGAGGTCCGTGTACGCTCTGCTCCAATCAATCAATTGATTTGGTTGATTGATTGATTGCATGTTGTTTTACGTCCCATTCGAGAATTTTTCACTCATATAGAGACATCACCATATACCGGTGAAGGGCTTCAAATTTAGACCTATACTCGGCAATTAGGGCCATTGAGCAGTGAGGGTTCTTTATCGTGCCAACGCCTGCCGTGACATGGGGTCTCGATTTTTAAGGTCTCATCCGAAAGACCCGCAACTTTCACTTCAAAGTGCCGAGCGCTTGGCGAAGGAACAGTTGCTACCTATTTTTTATCGACTTAGGTCAATTGCGGCCGTACATGATTCGAACAAACGAACTTCCGATCACGGAGCGAGTGCTCTACCGATTGAGCTACCGTGACGGTGCTCCCGATTTGCATTGTTTTAATAGACTTTGAGCTTGAATACTGTTCGTTATCTCCATATTTCATCTAGAACTTCTGACACCATGCAATGTCCGCCTATTACGCCTGAAACCTAAACTAGGGACAACACGTGTGTTCTTAGTTTAACAATTTTAATAATAATAATGATATATTGTGTCTCGAACCCAATCAAATAAGCATATCAAATAATCATATGTTACATAATGCATGAAGAACAAAAACATTACTCTGTGCATTCTTCTCTAGCCGAATATTCTACAGTTTCATTTTCCTAAAATATTGTCAGTTTTATATTGGCCTTTGGTAATTTCTTGACCATAAAAGAAATTTCCACTTCTTTTTTCATCCTTGTCCAATTGTAAAAAATTTTCCATTGTAAGATATATTGTTGTATTTTGCAACATACTCGTCCACCTGATATCGTATTCCAGAAGTAATTTTTATTCTTGCTACATGTTCCTTTACTTCTACAGTTTCCGTGTTTGTTTTCACTGGCGATACTTTCAGTGCTCACTTGGTCGACATGTTTTCTTTCAGCATTCAGGGGTTTCATCTTCCAAACTTTCAACTTTACCATTTTTACTTGAATCCTTTATGTCCCCCGCTTTCACTGAAAGTGGGGGATATTAATTTGGGTCTGTCTGTCCGTCCGTCTGTATTTCTGTCTGTCTGTAACACTTTAGTTTCCGCCCTGTTTTTTTTTTATTATTATTTATTGTATTAAAAGTTGCTTGGCACTATTTTTAGCACAGGGGCACGTGGAGAGTTATTACGTATAATACAGGTTGTCGGCGGACTTTATATTCTTATTACATCTATTAGAACTGTTTAGTAAAGGTTAAATAGTTAACGCCGTCGTCATTACTCGCTAGGTGGCGCGCGAGTTCTAAGGGGTATAAAAAACTAACATGGCGGATAATTACAAACACTGGACGGTACCGCGATTAAAATGCAAACTTTCACAAAGAGGCGCCGTGACTACTGGGAGAAAGATTGATTTAATTGAAAGGTAAGAGTATTTTTTTTCAAAGATATGATATATTTATAACTGAAAAATAATATTACAGGTCGAAATAAACCTTCACCATACAAAAACAATGTTGTTGCATACCAAGTTACTCAGTTAGTCGACCTGTGTTAATATAGCACTCGCGCAAAGTCAAAGACATTTTCCCCTGGTTTATTTAGTGATAATGAAGATGATTCAGTTTCGCTTACACTCTTTTCAATACTCAATAATGCAGGCTTGAAGCATACGACCGGAACAAGAATTTTAGACAAGACCTGTTGTAATACCCGAACAAGTAGATGTGTTTTGGCCTACATGCGTCTTCCAGCACTTGCGACAAGAACACAGACTACTATTTCCAAAATTATCAGTTACCCAGATTGAAAACTATTTCTTGTACAGAATGGCAGGTAACTTCTTTAATGAAGCAATCTGTTAATATGATATTAGGTTTTTTATTGACAATGTTAAAAATAATATTATAATTTTTACTTATTAGAAGATACACAAATGACATCAGATATTAAGGCCCTGGAGAAAGGAAAAGATCTTTTGAAGGGTAACAGAATTTTAGCCTGCAGTGTGTGCGTCTTGGATGATGTGTACCTGTCTGGAATAGTTGGTGCAGCTATGAAACAAAAGGTTTTATTTTTTCCTTAATTGACTACTTCAAATCTGATCAGTATTGAATCTGTATTACAATGATTTACTCTCTTTCTCAGTAAATAAAGACTAAAAATAGTCAGCACCATTCATAATTAGTTGTGCATCTAGTGCAAACTTAATAAATAATATACAAAAGTCTTATACATGCAATAAAAATTAAAAAGAAAATTGTTACCTTTACCAGGGACATATATAATATAAGTCCCTGCCTTTACCTAGTCTTACCATATTTTTTTTTATTTAACACTTCTTTTTTTGTCTCACAGGTTTCATATAATTTTAAGATTAGGCTCGGAAAAACCCATGGGGAACCCTTAAATTCACATTGTGAGTGCCCAGCTGGGAAAGGGCCCCATGGGACATGCAAGCATATTGGAGCTTTTTTGTTGATGGTGGCAGCATTCATCGAAAAGGGGGAGATTTCTGTAATGAAAGGATGTACAGAAAATCTACAGAACTTCAATGTGCCTAAGAAAATGTATGAAGGTTTGTATATTACTGAAAACATTCTATTAAACAATAGTGATAACTGAGCATTTATTTTAATGTGTTTTCTGCTAATATTTAACAGTAGTGGATTTCAGGGCTAAAAATTTGAGGATTTCCAAATGACTTTCATAAATTTATATAGACCTATTAAAATTCAAATTTTATCATCCAGGTAAGCCACTGGTTGCTGAGAAAATCCCGTGGAAAAGAAAAATCTCTGATGAAATGCTTGAAGACCCAAGGAAGGAAAAGTATAAAAGATATGCCACAGGATACAGTTATGTTTACAATTGCATGGTCAACTACTGTTCTGCCTCTTCCATGGACATCACTATGAGATATTCAACACCTTCTACAAGTCTTCTGGTAAAGAACTTTTTATTTCTTGGGATTTTTATGCCCCACTAAGAATATGGCAGGGGCATATAGTGTTTGTCATTTCCGTCTGTTGGTCCATCACACTTTGTGTTTATCTCAGTTTCAAAGAAACTGTTTAAGATTTATTTATAAACCAAATTCATACACTTATATTGGTGAGAGCTAGCCTAATCAACTGTGGCATAATTATACCCCCGCTCCGAAGGAGAGGGGGGTATACTGTTTTACCCTTGTGTGTCTGTCTGTCCGTCTGTGTGTCTGTCTGTCCGTAACAAATTTTGGTCGCAGTTTTCTCAGCAACTACTCATTGCAGAAGCTTGAAATTTTAGCACAATCTTTGTTTAGGCATGCCATATGGTGGGATTCATTTTTGTACGAATTCGATGTCAACTTCCTGTTTATCCGTGCGTCTGTCCGTACCATACATAACAAATTTTGGTCGTAGTTTTCTCAGCAACTACTCATCGCAGATGCTTGAAATTTTAGCACAATCTTTGTTTAGGCATGCCATATGGTGGGATTCATCTTTGTACTAATCTGATGTCAACTTCCTGTTTATCCATGTGTCTGTCCGTACCATACATAACAAATTTTGGTCGTAGTTTTCTCAGCAACTACTCATCGCACATGCTTGAAATTTTAGCACAATCTTTGTTTAGGCATGCCATATGATGGGATTCATTTTTGTACGAATTCAATGTCAACTTCCTGTTTATCCGTGCGTCTGTCCGTACCATACATAACAAATTTTGGTCGTAGTTTTCTCAGCAACTACTCATCGCAGATGCTTGAAATTTTAGCACAATCTTTGTTTAGGCATGCCATATGGTGGGATTCATCTTTGTACTAATCTGATGTCAACTTCCTGTTTATCCGTGTGTCTGTCCGTACCATACATAACAAACTTTGGTCGCAGTTTTCTCAGCAACTACTCATTGTAGATGCTTGAAATTTTAACACACCCTTTGTTTAGGCATGCCATATGATGGGATTCATTTTTGTACAAATCTGATGTTAACTCCCTGTTTATCTGTGCGTCTGTCTGTACCATACATAACAAATTTTGGTCGTAGTTTTCTCAGCAACTACTCATCGCAGATGCTTGAAATTTTAGCACAATCTTTGTTTAGGTATGCCATATAATGGGATTCATTTTGGTACAAATCCAATGTCAACTTCCTGTTTATCCCTACATCTGTGTACCATACATAACAAATTTGGTCCCAGTTTTCTCAGCAACTACTCATTGCAGGTGCTTGAAATCTTAACACAATGTTTGTTTAGGCATGCCATATGTTGGGATTCAATTTTTACTAATCCAATGTCAATTTCCTGATTATCACTGTGTTTGTCCATAACTGAACTTGTGTATTCACATCAGAGCGGGGGTATTATTAGTGAGCATTGGCTCGCAGACTTCTTGTTATTTTCACCTTGACCTTCCCTGTTAATTATTTCACACACACACACCCCTTTTTTCTCTTAATATATAATTTTTTTAAAAAAAATCACACATTTCTTTTCACTTTAAAATACAAATGTACCTTTGTGGGGCATTCATATCCTATTGAGAAATTTCCATTTTTTTTAAGTTTCAGTTTAAAAAATAAATGAATTCTTTCTATAAATATTAATAAATAAATAAAGAAATATTTATTTCAGGTTGCAAGTAGAGATCATGATTACCTTCAACTCCCCTTTACAGAATATATTGTAGACAGAGCACTGTGTGTAAGTATTTTTTAATTGAAATCCTTATTTCAGTATTGCTTATTGATCAATAACTAGCTTTGTGTAAAATGAATCTTTTAAGGTAACTCCAGAAAAAGCAGAGACAATAGAGAAAACTACAAAGTTACAAACTAAAAGCAAACAATGGTTTGATGAAAGAAAATGGAGATTAACAGCATCCAGGTTCGGAGACATTGCAAAAATGACTTGCCGCAGAGACACACGAAAACTTTGTTCGAGTTTATATCAAACAAATTCAATTTCTACTTCACCTATCATGCATGGTAGACAATATGAAAACAAAGCTATATGTAGATTTGAGGAAATTTCTGGTCTCAAAGTTCAAAGATGTGGGCTGTTTGTATCTTTGGATTATCCATTTCTTGGTGCAACACCAAATATGTTAGTAGACAATGATGCCATTATTGAAGTTAAATGTCCTTATACTGGTAGAAATGAGGAAATCAAACCTGGGAAGAAATTCCCATTCCTTGTTGAATTATCTGATGGCACTGTTACACTTAAACAATCTCATAAATATTATGATCAAGTGCAAGGACAGCTCTTTCTTTCCAAGAGAAAAATTTGTCATTTTGTTGTGTTTACTTTCTGTGATATTTTGATTCTGAAGGTTCAGTGTAATGATGATTACTTCAGGTTCAGTTTGCTGCCAAAGTTGGAAATGTTCTACAAGAAACACTTTATACCTTATGTTGCTTCTTGTTTATAATTTTACTAAATAAGATTTTGACATTCAGAATATATTGTACAATGTACATGTTTCAAGAGATGACGCAATGTAACAAATTCAAGCTCCCACTTTTAGAGGATTCTTGAAAGGGAAAATTTACATTAAAACTCTTTGTATATCAAGGTTGTAAATTTGGCAATGTCTTGCACTATAAAAAACTGTTTTGACGTGTACCAGGAAACGTACCATTTTTTCAATAATAAATTATAGAAAAAAATTCTTTTTAATTTATTTACTCACTCAAGCATAACCATCCACAATTGGTTTCCTAAAATTTGACAAAGAAAAACAAACAAACACTATTCTTGATGCTAGAACACATTTGCTAGATGGAAGTGGAGAACTTAAAATTTTGTATCTTTTACTAAGACCAATGACCCTCTCTACGTGTATTCGTTTGGATGCAATTCTCCTGTCTTTTACAACATCTTTTGGCTCGAGCTGAGATTTGCCCTTCAGCATGGTTGGAGTATTAACAAACACATCCATGGGTGCAAATAAATCTTGCACCATTATGCCTCTGTCTGCCATTATACTATCTTTTGGTAAAAACCCGTTTGATTCTGGCTTTGTAATATCAGAACACTCGATGATTTGTCTGTCGGAAGCAGACCCCCCAAAAGAATCACTAATAAAGGAAACTGCACCTCGTGGTGTACAACCAATCATTGTTTTTAAAGTATTACGATGCTTGTATCCAGACCAAGTAACTGACTGGGCAATTACATCTGACGGCTTTTGAATTGGTATCTCGGTTGCATCAAGAATCACCCTGGTAGAGGGAAACTTCTTGGAGAAATCCTCTGGCATATGTTTATCAATGATATCTCGAGATGGCTATATATCAAGATCTTTTAGCTGAAAGTACATGAAGTTAATCCACATTATAACTATTTTTGATACAGTTGTTTCACTAATCTCAAACATAAGACTCAATTCAAAATCCTCCCTGGCTTGGCGAAGTTTGATCAAAGTTAAGAAAAGTTGATCAATGGGGGAAATTATAGTCGGTTGATTTTTTAGATCTGAAGCTGCTGGGCTAAGACAATGAAAAAAAAATTCAAAATGCTCAAAATCTGAAAATCCTGTGTAAAAGTTAATTGCCTTAGAGTTTGTCCTAAACTTTTCAATTGAATAGCGACCATGAAGAAGACTGCATTGAATACTCTCATGAGAAAAATTCTCAACAAGAGTTGAATTCATTTCTACTTGTTTAACACTTTCTTCGCTATTGTTTGAAGACTCAACTGTGACCTCTTGCTGAACACCATGACAGTAATCAAAAGGCGTAGACATAGTGGACGTGCTTCCTTTATTTCTTGAAATTGAGGTTCCACGTCGTCGCTCTTCAGATGAAGATTTAAATTTGAAAACTGATGGAACAGCATTCTCCTTAAGGCGTGCTCGTTCACCTGTAAATTTATGAACAATAAATATATTGTGATTATATCAACATCATAAAAAAATCATCAGATTGATTGATCTGACCAGTTTTTGTGTCATTCATATTTAAAATGAAATCTTTAATATGTATATATTAGAAATTGACACACAAACATACATACATATGACATAGTTATATTTAAATACTTCATATACATTCTTCTGAAAGTACATAAAAATTTTGTACGTTAATTAAATTCTTTCAGTGTTTCATTAAATAATAGCAATTGATACATTGATTAAATTGGAAAGCTAATTTATGAACATTGTATATGAGTAAAAAAATAACAAAATTTTACTCATCCGTGCAGAAATATTTATGGACTAACATCTTGATGACATCTGAAACAAAAACAAAACGCAACCACAAAGCATCATAATGTAAAGAAAAATCAACAAAAGAATAAAGTAATATTAGTGTATGTACTTGACATACAGAAATAAAATCCCACTGGGGGATGGGGGTCAACTCCTGGAGTGTAGACTGATGTATATAATATTCATATACAAAATTAATTTATGCAGGGGCTTAGTGACATTATGACTGTACATACACTAAATTTAAATCCTATAAAAATAAATGACATCAACATGTTAATTATAAAAAGCTGGTCAGAAATTTCTGTGACACAAATATTATATGTGCTTCGAGTGTTGAGATACATAATGTTTATCTCAGTTTTAAATATACGTGTATACCCGTAGATTATAGCGAGACTCGATAATCGAACATGAATGAGTGAGGATATATATAGAATGTGATCAGGTGATAAGTACGGAATGCAAGGATTTTAATTTTATTGAAAAAGTTATGACGTCTGGCTTGTACAAACTCATAAAATCATTATTACAGTGTGATAAATATTCTATAATATAAAAAGAATCTTCTACACACATATCAAAGAATAAGCACTCAAATCTTAATATTCATATTGGCATTTTTTATTTGCTTCAATATACATGTATACATTTAATGATTCTACAAATACAGGGGGGGGGGGGTGGAGTCCGACCCCCCCCCCCCGAACTGCGCATGCTCTTCTTTTTTCCATAAGTGGGGGACACAAATTCTCTGAATTAGCTTGTTATTTGTAGCGTTTCTTGCAGTGTTGAGATCCTTTTGCTTTTCCTTACTTTTTTTTGATACAGTCATCAGTGTCCATCACAATACTCCTTTTTCAAATAACTACTGCAATAGCACGATGTATTTGCAATATACAGATTGCTCTTATAAGTGGCATGCAAGTCCATAGTTTCTCTTCCTGGTTGGAGGGTACAATTGATTAAAAGTTCGAACTCCTATTCGCATAATCTTTTATTCACAAAGAAAAAAGTTGACTCACTTGATATTTGCATTGATTACCTAGGAGTAGTTCTCTGCGTCCTGAGTATTTCCCTTTTGTGCGTTCACTGCTTGATCGGCTACTCTTTTCAGAGTTCCACCTTCCCCATCACACGGGCCTCTGCCAAGTCCACTTTCGAAATAAATAATGCCATGTCGTAGGGCACCCACACTTCTCTTCATAACACATTAGCACGTCTAATATGTAACGGTCCCGATATTGACTTGTAAGACTATCCGTCCAGTAGTGGGTTAGACTAAAATTCGTAACGCAAAGGCCCCAAGGGAATTAAACTTGTTGAGGATGCAGGCCCGTAGAACGTGGGTGGGTTAGAGGGGCTTGGCCCACTTTTTTCTGACTAAAATCTTTTGTTATTGTAAATTTTCAATAAGATGCTAGTCCCCCCCCCCCCTTTCGTATACACATTTTTTGCTCCTATAACGTCGAACACTGTACAATTGCAGGATATGAATAAATGTTCCAAACCAAAAAGTAAAAGGAAGTTCCAACCTGTGAATCTATGTGAATCGGTACTTGGCCATCAGGTAAGTTCTGCTTTAGCTATCTGCTCATTGCATACTGTCTCTCAATTCTGAACACATGATTCTTAAAATCATCAAAATTTTTCCCCGTATTGTCCAAAATGCATCTTTATCGGATTCTTCTCAAAATATCTTCATCTTTTCCTTTCCATCCCGGACTTACACTCTCTTCCACAAATTGAAAGTAACTTTTTCTGGAAAGTTGTCTTTTAAAAATGCCCTTTCTTGTTTAACGAATTTCATCTGGATTTGTAGTTATCTCAAAACCGTAGGTCTTAGAAATTCTTAATTTGAATGCAAAGTTTGGTACAAAGGCAAGTGTTTAAGCCCAGGAATGTTGTTGTCAGGATATCCCTTAGTCATAGACGCCAATATGTTGACAAAGAAATTTATACAGCCGAATTTTTAGCTAGAAATTTCTCGTGCTGTAGTTTGCATCTCCCCTTTTGTTTTTATGGAATCCATTTTCCCTAGCTGTTTAATTGCATGCGATTGTTGTCATTTCTCTGAAGAAACAAAACAACAGCTTTTCTCTCATGACTTGATATCGGGTTTTTGAAAGATGGCTACGATTCGTAAATGTTCCTGATAATATTTTTAGTTAAGAATAATAACTGCTGAATGATTCCCGTCATAATTCCACTGGCTGCAAGGCATTTTATTGAATATATGGAGCAGTTTTTTTTTTAGTTTGACTACGTGTAAATTCGGGCTAATGTTGGTTAACGTTGGTTCCTTTTTAGCTCATCTGAGCTGAAGGCTCAAGTGAGTTTTTCTGATCAAAGAGTGTCCGACGTCCGTCTCTCGTCTGCAAACTTTTCACATTTTCGACCTCTTCTCAAGAACCACTGGGCCAATTTCAAGCAAACTTGCCACAAAGCATCCTTGGATGAAGGAGATTTAAGTTTGTTCACAGGAAGTGCCATGTCCTCTTTCAAGGGTAGATAATTAAGAATTCATGAAAATTTGGGGGCATCTTTTTACAAATTCTTCTCAAGAACCACTGGGCAAGAAAAGATGAAACTTATGTAAAAGCTTTATTATGTGCTCTAGATTCAAGATTATTCATATTATAACCCTCGGGGGTAGGCGGGGCCACAGGAGGGGGTCAAAGTTTTACATACGAATATATAGGAAATGTCTTAAAAATCTTCTCGAGAAAAGCAAAGCCATGATTAGTCATATCATTATAAGAGGTATCCTCATGTACTGTAGATTCAAGTTTGTTCAAATCATGCCTCTTGGGGGTTGGGTGCAGACACAAAAGGTGGCCAAAGTTTTACGTAGGAATATATAGGAGATATGTTTTCCTCTCAAGAACAGATAAGCTATTATAAGTAATATTAATTCTGGAGTATCCTCAGGTAGTGTAGATTCATGTTTGTTCAAATCATGACCTCCGGGGTAGGACAGGGCCACAACAGTGGATCAAAGTTTTACATAGAAATATAGAGGAAATATCTCTAAAAATCGTCTTCTCAAGAACAACAGAGCCATTATTAGTCATATTTATACAGAAGGACCCCAAGGTATGGTAGAATCAAATTTCTTCAAATCATGACACCCAGAGGTAAAGGTGGTACAACAAAGGGTCAAAGTTTTACATCAGAATATATAGGAATCATCATGAAAAAAATCATCTGCTCAAGAACAGCTAAGCCATGATTAGTCATATTATTATAGAAGCATCCTCAGATAAAGTAGATTGAAATTTAGGGTGGGTAGGAAAAGGCCACAATGAGCGATCAGAGTTTTAGGAATACATGAAGAAAAAATCTTCAAAATTCGAAAGAACAGCAAAGCCATGATTAGTAATGTTGATATGGAAGTATCCTGAGGTAGTGTTAATTGTATCCCCCCCCCCCCGGTAAACGTTTTTATACTGAACTGATTTCTGCTTTTTCCTAGCCAGTGTGTTCAGATGAGCGATGTGGCCCATGGGCCTCTTGTTGTTTATATAGTGATCACTTAAACTCAAACTTGACGCAAAATATGTTACTGACCCCTGTGTACCGAAGTGATAGAGTCATCTGTTCTCCAACAACAATTTGCTTACGACGCTTCCAAATTTTTTTCATATAGATTGCCGTGAGCTTGAACTCTTTTTTCCAATAATTTCAGATGCAATAACATTGGACAAAAATAGTTGTTTTTTTCATTTAGACAAACTATTTCTGGGACATTTTCCAATGAATAATATTGATTAGTTTTACTTCAGGGTGTCTGAGGCATTTTATACGTCTCTGTTTTAATATTTGGTCTTCTCTTTGGGTTTGTTTTTAACTTTCGTCGTAGTTCGTTCTCCGATTTTAGATTTTTCAAAATTTTAAACTGTCGAGCTTTTTATAACGCTGTTGATATCCTTTTACGAGGCGCCGCATGGGAGCTGAATAATCAGCATATTATCTGGTATTTTGCATTGTTTCATACCCACTAATATCGTCCCTGCGTTTACATTCATACCAGCCACAGCTGCTAGCTTCTTTATTCTGTGTTTCATTATTACTCTTTCCCTTACCTTTCTCCTTCTAGTCTTTTCCCTTTTCTGGTTAAATATTTACAGGTAAATAGTTATCACACTGTCTTTCCCTTTCTTTTTCTTAATATTGTTCACCCTCAGTCGCCTTTTTCTTTTCTCTTGATCCGTCTACTGCAGACAAAAACACCTCCAATTTTATTTAAATGTATTTTTTTAAGCAACTGTTTCCTAGTATCTTCAGCCTTATTCTCGACAACTGATAACTTAAATGATGAGATATGATTCCAGGGTCCTCACCCACCAATGCACCCTGCCCTCCAAATTTTAAAAACTTGCCATTCGACGCAAAACAACTTGCAATTGATAATCTCTTGCAATATCAAATGATTGAACAAAATAAATGTTGGATTTAAAACCGTATTCCTTCGGTATAAATGGTGTGGTTATAATAATTATAAAGGGAACTGCTCAATAATAACGCGAAACATTTAATTGTCCACAAAAACAAAAAAGAAGAAAATGCTCGATATGAAACAATGCACAATGCGCATGCTCTATGTAGCATTTAAAGCAGTTCAAAACACAGACTATTCTTGAGAGGGGGTTTAAAAGAAAAAAGACCATGATAGAGGACTATACACATAAAAAATGGTAAGTATACTAGCCAAGAAAAACAGAAGTGAGAAATAATTTAATGTAACCTTAAACTAAAGAAAATAATTTAATAATTATTATTAATTAATTATTTCATTCATTTTTTGAAAGCAAAAATTAAATTCTGAATATTTTTAAAAGCTTATTTTTATAATCAATATCAACACAAATGTGTGAAATCAGTCAATTGTAAAACTGTGAATCTTTAATATTTCATGTAGTTTTTATCAATTTTAGGTGAAAAATAAATACCCCTCTATTTATCATGACGTGATTACTATTCCAACTTTAAAAAATATTCTAATCATGTTCCTAACTACATGTACTTTAGTAAATCAGTAAGTTTCTTCGTTACAACAAAAAAAAAATCTTGTATTAATTCATTTTTTTAAAACAGATAATTGAACTGGTATTACTACTTTTATCCCCTTACAAAATCGAGACAGGTAAGAATTGTTTTTATGATCTTTTTCATTTTGGTTAAAATATATAATACATGTACGAGGGTTGTCCTTCTCAGAAATACGCGAACATTTTCATTATCTTTTGTTTCACTAATACTTTAAAGTTAAAAATTGGCATACATCATGATCAACATTTTTCGAATAATTCGTAAAAATTTCAATGAAATATCTCTATAAATAACGTTTCCCTCGCAGGTGAACGAATCTTACAAATCAGTTGTCGGCGCAACACTGACGACGTCATTACGTAGCCGTGGCGTTTGTGAATTTGTTTTGGAAATGTGCTTCTGATAAAATTCATCCTCAAACCTCTTCAACTAGGGATAAAGATTTATGTTTCTGTTTTCCCATCGTTAATATCTCTTTTATCGCATGGGCAGGAGTCATATCCCGCTCAACAAAGTACTGCTTAATAATTTGGTGCTCCACATTATCGCCAAACGTAACCATGTTTGACAATATCTAATTAAAGGTGTTTTGTTTTATAACGTCATTAATGAATGAATTTTTATACATGAATACACCAGATTAATGCGTATTATGGAAGTATATTTTGTGACATATTTCCTCATAGCCTTTTAATAAAGAAAAGTTCATTGACAACGCATCTTTTAAAAGTCAAAATATTGCCGTGCACCGACCACCGATATTTAACACCCTTTAAAATATTGTGTCAAAATACCGAAAACATCATTTTCCAACAACGTGCAGAAAATTATTAGTTTTGGTCGAATAGTTTCTGAAAATTTCAAAAAGTTCGCGTTTCTCTGGGAGAACCCTCGTATTGATTGTATTTTTGTGACCACGAATCAAAGTTGATTATTATAAACCACACTGTATATATATATATATATATATATATATATATATATATATATATATATATATATATATATATATATATATATATATATATATATATATATATATATCAATATCATAACCCTTTTATTATTTAACAGTATAAAATACAATACATCGAGTTAAATTATATATTTTGTACATAGTTCTAAATTAATACTTGTATTGTAGCATACTCTGGCTGCTTTCCGGAAACCCCAGCTGCTAGACAGCTGGCAGTAAACCCCGGGAACTATGTGCCAGCTTCCCTGACCCCTGTACAATGTGAGGACTCTTGTTCAAAGAAAGGACATCCCCTCGCGGGTCTGACGGCCGGAAAAATATGTTTCTGTGGTACGACGATGACAGAGCCTCAGGCGTCTGAAAGTGCATGTGTAGAAAACTGCGCGGGCGACACTAGTCAGAAATGTGGAACAGACGCAGAGCCACCTTATGATAATGTCTACACCACCCCAGTGGTTCTGAATGGCTTTAAAATATTCCCTGGGGGTAGGAATGCAGCTTTATAAATGTCCGTTTTATTCTGATACATAAAGTTTTTTTTTCTTAAATTTTATGTAATTTTTTGTTTTTCCGATCTTTCAATATTATTATTTTTAATTCATTCTACGGCTACACTTGTTTTTAATTGTTGTTTAAAGTCACTTTTATAAAATAATTATTTACAAATAGAGAAAATAAATGCAATATTTGAAAGTCTCCTACAGTGCAGAAAACTCTTGGATAACTGTGCTGGCACGACCATTCTTTTGAATTTTTTCTTTGGGCCATATCGTCATTTCACTTCAAAAAACATTTATTTACTTGAATGAAATAACATATTTGACTTGGAAAGAAATAAAGTCAGTATTTGTTTTCATTTAAATACTCTAAAGGAACCAACGTTTTAATCAATAGCAATTTCAATAAAACTTTAGCAAACGTAGACAAAAAATTGATTACTCATTAAAAATTTAACTTCGTGGAAAGTATTGATAGTTTTTCTTTCTTTATAATATTTATTTTAAAAAACTGTATTTCTTCACTCTAAAGATTATTTTTAATTCTGAGTGACTGCCTTATTATGCTCTACGTGCTTAGCCCTAATACATCTTTTGAAAGTGGCCATTGAATTACACAATACACAATTACTAAATTAGACAATTGTGAAATCAAGGAAAAGTAATTAAGAAGAAACGCTAAAATGAACTCAGAGCTTATTTTGCATCAATATATGTATGGTTCATCGTTTTTAGTTAAATTCGTTCATTCAGAACGATTTCACATTCAGAAGTGGATATATACACACTCTCTTTCCTCTCTCTCTATATATTATATATGGATCTTTTAATGACCGGGTTTGGTAGCTGTATTTTTAAATAAATTTTGCAAAAGAAAAAACCAAATTTTTTAATTAAAAGACAAAAATATTCATTTCAAGTGAAGAAATACATACATATATATGTAGTATTTACTTCATGAACATTATAAAAGGAATTTTTTTGCACAAGTCGCTCACTTTTAAACAAGTGTAGTCAAAAATTACAAGTAACATACAAATTTAATATATAAATGTATCTATAAAGGAAAAAAATCCACACAATTCAAACAAAATGTCTTAAAAACAGCAAAACTGGGATAATGTTTAAAGAAATCTCTAGTCATTTGAAGGATAATTTTTTTACTACTCACTAACTCAGTTCCCTGTGCTTTAAAAATTCTCATTGTAACAAAAAATTGACCACTAAAATATTTCTTGTTAGATATGCTTTTGGAGACGTTTGTATCTCAGAATGTCTACTTTAACTTGACCAATGGTGACATACAATCCATTGTCGCTGTAACATCAGACGACGGGCCAGACTTAGGGCCTGTCAATACCTTATCTATTCCCATAATTCCAAGAAAGTCAAGACCACTTCAAATCAAGGCCACGATCAGCGACACCGGGTCAAAAACATTAGATGCAACTCAAGCATTTAAGGTAACATTACTGTTCATTTCGTGCAAAACAAATTTAACAACCTTACACTATATTTATAAACAGACATGGAATAACGTTTTGATTTATTTAATTTAAAAGGTGCAAGCCAGAATAAAACTGGTGAGTTTGGATTGCCCGAATTACGCAATCGGTAACGTTCGATTTGACTGTTTCCTACGAATTGGCGTGGGCAGCCCCTTATCAGTCAACGTAGACATGGGCGATGGATCAACATTTTTACTCAATGTCCAAGGTTTTGTAAAGTGATTTATTTTATCATTTTTTTCCTTAAGAGATGATCTGGGAGTACATTTATGAGCATCTCAGATTATTTTTCTGACATTTGTTTTCAATTGTACAAATATTACGTAAACTTTCTCATTATTGACTTGTTCTCTAAATATCAGTCTCTATATTGTAGAATGTAAAGAATTCTCGAAGGGTCAGGTTGATGGTACTATTTCTACCGTCACACATCCGGGCAACAATTTATACTTGTACCCGGATACAATCGTCAAAACGAACGCCACACTGGTGGGTCTTGATTATACGGCAACCACCGCTGGGGATATCATAGTGCAGGTATAAACATGGGAATATGATCAGAGATCAGGTTCACGTGCACGTGAATTTCTTGTATAGAAAGAAGGCTAGTGTACATGTAAACTCATATATACATGAAGCAATGGGAACCCTATTGCATTTAAAAACATTCTCAATTTCTTGAGAAAAATGTGATCATTAAGGTTAATAATAAAATACATGTGGCGACACAGATTTCACGATTCAAAGGAATGCATGGATATAAGCAGAACATTCTCTGCTCAAATTACAAATAAATGGATTCGTATATTATTTAAGATATTTAAAATATTCCATTTAAGCCCGTAAAGGATATTTCACCTACACATCGGTACTGATCACTTGTTGTCAATTGTCGAGGTCTCTTGATATTAAATATTTGTCAAAATATGCAAATTTACAGTCCTTATCATGTTGTTTTAAAACATCGATTAATCGGAAACAAATTGAAATCATTTCACCAACTGTCGGTATTCTTAAAGAATGATCCAACATCAAGTCAATTTAAAGAGCGAGAGGGAGGGTTACTTTCTTACTATCAAGGCGGGAATTAGTTCGGACACGTCTAAATTTTGTGTCTTTTTGAACGTGTTCTATAATTGGAGAATATTTCCTTTATTTTGGGGGAAAACTCGCTTTGCCTGTGGTTGAACTCCTTGGTGTCAGCTCTACTGACGTAGATTCTAGATCTATCTGTCGTGGCTGTAATTCCAAAGGAAAAATAAGATTATAAAAATTTACCACTTTATTCAACAAGGCGTCGCATGGAAGTGTTAGTCACAAACAACAGTCACCAGTTACAATTAAAATACAAAATGATTTAATTTTATAAAGATATTTCCCTTAACTAACATCTGGTGACTGTACAGAGGGGTGAACAATATATATAACAAAAATACCCTCTGAAATTCTTTAATTCAAAATAATTTTAACAATCGAGGAAACTCGAACTTACTGCATTTCGACAATTAAACGTTAATAAATTTACACACATCAAATGTCGTTAACAAAATAATGTTAAAATAAACTCTGCATTATAATTAATTATTAATCTGAACTCATAACATTCTAAAAGGATTAATAAAGAATATCGTAAGACTTGAAATAAAGCTCAAATTTAGAAAATATAATAATTAAATTCAATTAATAAAATTATTTCAAAATGAGACTTAAATGATTTATCTTAACATTTAAAAATATAACAAAAATGGAACATACCTGTAATTCCAAAGGAAAAATAAGATTCTAAAAAAAATTACAACTTTATTCAACAAGGCGTCGCATGGAAGTGACCAGGATAGGCCAAATTTCCAGCGAAACCGGGTTGCCTTTGGATTACAGGTCATTAACCAATCAGCTTTGAGAATTAATTTTACGGAAGAAATGAAAGTGAGAAATATACCATTTTTGGATTCGAACACGATAATCGCAATCACGTGACATAAAAAGATGACCCTTGAGGCTGACCAAGCTCAAAGCACCTGTGCATGGCCTAAGGCCTTGACAGATTTATAACCAAAAAGTAAAAATATAAAAGAGATCAATCTTTGTTACGTAATTGATTAAACATTATCTATAAACAAGAAGACATCAAAGACAGTCATGAATAAATTATTTACACTTTATACAATGGACAGTTCATTACATGTACCTGCAGAGGATTACATGATTTACTCTAAACAAGATTCAATTAAAAAAACTGCTACTTCCTCAATAAACAACAAAATACGTTCTTAAAGTAATCATAACAACAAAATTCATTGTTAAATAAAATTTGTGGAAAGGCAGTTCTTATCAATACATGTATTAACATTCTTTTTAGAGGGAAAGGTTTGGTATAAAAAAAGTCTATGAAATTGCTATGCACCAAATGTTTGACCTTATTTGAAAATGAAAATTAAATGATATTGTTTGTTTGTCCCAGGTATACCGGCCCTCTTGTGGACCAGACTTAACACAAAAGTTCTGTCATAAAAGTTACTCTTGCATATCTGTAAACGAGTCCTGCTATAACCAGCCACGGGGATCTTATTGGCAGATCAAGTGTGGACCTGGGACCATCTACAGTCTAGCTCTTGCAAAGTGTGTTAACATGGCAACTGGAACTGTAGTTGAGAAACCACCTGTCACAGATTTTGCACAGATGCCCATTCAGTCGTTCGATCTTGTTCACGAGTTCACTTTCACCATAAGCTCTGGAAGAAACTTTTACACCATTCCGGACGACGACCTCTTCATCATGGATCCTGCTGACGTCATAGCTATTAAAGAAGAAAATGGCCGTTTTGAACTTTTGGACTCTACTGATAACTACAAGGAGTTTTACTGGAGCGTCGGAGGAGATTGGGGATCCCGTGCTACGAATGGATATACCATATCTAGCACTGGTGTCAACACGCTTTCAGCTAGACATGCTGTACGGGCATATTTCGCCACGCCTGTACGAGCAAAGTTCAGACATACCTATGCAGGGGTCATGGCAGACTATAAGAACATTACTATAATGGCATCAAACGCTGTAACACAGCCCCCAGTTACATATGTTCGGGAAATTGAACTCCAGATTGTGATTTCTGGCGTTGAAATCGACGCCCCTGCAGTAGGTAAGTATCTTTGTAGAAAGCGTATGTCGAAGATGACAAATTGTGGTTAATCATTAAATTCTCTAAAGACAATTTGCAGCTCTTCTGTATTTTCGTATGGTTTTGAGAACATACCATAATTGAAGTAAAACTTGTCAGGAGCTCTTGGGGCAACTGGATTGAATAAATTCAATCCCTTAAGTGGGTCCCTTATATTTATACTGTTAGTTTGATACATGTATATGTATTTATATCGCTCAGTGCGATAATATGTTTTTAGAGATTATATAATGCCCTAAGTATTATTTTTATGCTATATAATTAATACACATAATTCTGATATTAGTATCCCCTTTAACAGCATTCTTTATGAATTATGGGTTTATACTGGCCGGAGAATAACAAAATAAATAAGAAAAAAACTAATATATCCAGATTCCTTGAAAGCAAAGATTAATATGTATTAAGTCTTTAGATCTCTGTGACTCAACCTAAACTTGTTAAATCCTTATTTCTACAAACAAATGTTACTAAGTACAAATTACTCTCCTGCTCATGAAGTAATTAGATATTAAGTTTTTATTTCTATATAATAAAAAAAGAATTCAAGTTTTGTACATCTTTATGTAGGCGTGACAAATGAAACCCTAGAAATGAAGATACCTCCTCATACTGGGACCAAGGTTCTCTACACCTGGAAGTTTGGAACAGGTGACGTTATGAATTCTACGGACAGGGTCATGAACTATACATGGACAGAGGCAGGTGTCTACACGATCATAATGACAGCAGAGAACAAAGTCAGCAGCGTCAGTAAAACGGTGAGTAAAATATAACCTAGACTTATTAAGTATACCGAAGAGTACCTGGACGTGTTACGTATATATATATATATATATATATATATATATATATATATATATATATATATATATATATATATATACATGTATATATATATATATATATATATATATATATATATATATATATATATATATATATATATATATATATATATATACAACAAAACCAAGAGGGAAAAATACTAAGACTTACATGTATTATGTACATGTAAACAGCAAAATAGTAAATTAAAAGAACCTAGACTTAATTTAATACATACACAGCAAAACTTTGAGTAAGAAATACCAAGACTTGTTCTGTATACAGCAAAAAGGTGGGTAAAAAGTACAAACCATACTACATACAGCTAAACGGTGAGTAAAAAGTAATTAGAAGTACAACAAAACGGTAAGTAAAAAGGATCTAGAATTGTTGCGTATTCAGCAAAAGAAATGAGTAAAAACTATATCTGGGCTTGTTAAGGTAAAGACTATATCTAGGCTTGTTAAGGTAGTCCGATCCTCAGGTTCTGAAAATCAGGCATTGAATAAGTGAAAATGTTCACAAAAATGTCTCTGAATTCTCAAAGTAATGTGAATTTACCCACGGCAATTGTTCAAACTTCATCATTTAAGTTAATCATATTAAATAGGAAAAATCAGTAAATCTCAAAAAAAAATTTCAGGAAATGCGAATAAAGACACCTACTATGCATTTTCTAATTGGAAATTGATCAACAAAAACATTTTTAGGATACAAAAAACTATAGGTATCCATGCATTTGAAGAAAATTGCATGATTTTATACTTATACACTACTTTAGTTTCTTCTGTGTACTTCGATTTCTTTAAATCTGTACTTTTAACATAGCTTTGGGTAAAAATATCAACGTTTTAAAAGACTGTTTCTAAAACTTCAAAGAACCTTGAATCACATTGAGATGCATAAAATGAAAATTGTTGAATGAAAAGATTTCATATTTAAGCTTCATTTTGAGACTTTTTGAATTAAATAATAAATTAAAGAGTTATCCTTCCTGGCTGAGGATCGGATATCCTTAAATAGACAGCATAACGGTGGGTAAAAATTACGAAGACTTGTTTCGTATATATACAGCAAACTTACGTAGATTTGTTATACATATATGCATATAGCAAAACGGTGAGTAAAAAGTACTAGATGTCCTACGTATACAGAAAAACGATAAGGAAAAAGTACCTAGAGACTTGTAACGTACACTGTATGCAGTAATAACTAATGAGAACGTATCGAAGATTTGGGGGTATATAGTTTTTGCCCTGTCCGTCCGTCCGTCTGTCTGTCTGTTTTCTGTTTGTCCGCAAAAACTTTAACATTGCCCATAACTTTTGATTGGTTGGAGCTATGGCTTTCATATTTCACATGTGTATTTCTTGTGACAAGACCTTTCTTTGGGTACCATAATATTTGACCTTGACATTGGAGTTTGACCCAGTTTTACAAAACTTTACCCAACTTTAACCTTGGCCATAACTTTTGAACAGTTGGTGCTAAGGCTTTCATACTTCACCTGTGCAATCCTTGTGTCAAGACCTTCCTTTGGATACCAACAACTTTGACCCTTTGACCTTGACCTAGGAGTTTGATCTAGATTTGAAAAACTTTAACCTTGGCCATAACCTTTGAACGGTTGGTGCTAGGGCTTTCATACATCACATATGTAATCCTTGTGACAAGACCTTCCTTTGGATACCAACAACTTTGACCTTGACCTTGGAGTTTGACCTACTATTGATAAACTTTAAACTTGGCCATGTCTTTTGAACGTTTGGTGCTAGAGCTTTCATATTTCACACGTGTATTTCTTGTGAGAAGGCCTTCCCTTTGGCACCATTAATTTTGACCATTTGACCTTGACCTTGATGTTTGACTTACCTATGGAAATTTTTAACTTTTTCCATATCCTATATGGTTGCTGCTAGGGCTTTCATATTTCACAGGTATATTCCTCGGGACAAGAACTCACTTTGGGTACCAACATATTTGATTTGTATTTGAGAAAGTTTAACCTTCACTATAAGTTGGCATACGGGGGCATCGGTGTTTCACAAACACATCTTGCATGTTTTTTTTCATTAATATGTTTACCGCTCCTAACTGTAAAGGGGGTTATATGATATGCCCTCCTGTCAGTCCGCAAGTTATACGGAGAAGTGACGCTCTTCAATAAAAGGTTGATCCGGTAATTAACAAAATATTCTGGACATATTTTCCGATATATATATATATATATATATATATATATATATATATATATATATATATATATATATATATATATATATTGCATTGGAATATTTTACTATACCACGTGGAAAAAGACAAGAATAAAGAAAGCCGACTTTGATTAATAACGCTATAAAAGTGTCTACAAAAAGATTCTTGTGATTGTCTAACTTATTTGTTTACATATTGAGGGTAAGGTCTATTCCGAATGAAAAATTTGTATCAATCATCAATATTCAATCCATATTCAATTTTTCAGCTTTTTCAGGGTGCATGTTTTTTAATACAAAATGTGTTATATACCCTAAAACCTAAGTGCAGTGAAATTGAAAGGCTAATAGAGGATACTAAGGTTTTAATATTATTCAATAATAATATGTAAAGACTTTCGTAATGAGCATACTTTCGTCTCAATACCTGACAAAACAAAGATAATACACATTTCGTAAGAAAATACTCCTTTTGACATGACCCTTCCCGGAGATATGATTTGCTGAATATAATATGCATTTTTACAGTTATAAAATTAGAATGAATATACAGTTTTATGTATTTGAAAAGCTAGGGACTCATTTTATTTGTTTTAGTTTGTGATAATTATTCAAGATGAGATACTGAACTTTACGGCTGAAGCTGAAAGCATTGCTACTGTGTTTACAGAAGATACCCAAGTCCTTTGGAACATAACTCAAGGTACAACAATTCCAATGCAAATACCAAGATCTGAATTGCAAAACAGCACTATAAAGCATTCTATTTAATTCTTTATTTCTGACCAGGTACCAATGTTAGCTATCATCTTTCAATGGGAGACGGTGTGGCTTTTGTCTACAGCTATCCGTTCCAGGGGTATCTTTGTGATGAAATGAATCTCAACGATACCTGTTCCATCGTCTATGGTGATCTTAACTGCACAGCTACTTGTAATGGGACATCTTCAGGTAAGACGTCGACAATATTTTATTATTTGAGGGAAGTATTTCACGATTTATTTTGATAAGGTATTCTGACCTGTGAATTGAAAGTTAACTTTAAATTGTCATTATTTATTATAGGAAGTTGCTTGCAAGGATATCATAAAATTTCATTTATTTATGTCCCTAGTAGTAATTTTATGCTGTATATAATTAGACAGGGGGAAAAGTTTCTCACATGATTGACTGTAGCTCTACTGGTTGCAGTTGTCATTAGTTCATAAGTATCCCTTTGACTTGCACCACTTATTTCTGCGTTTTACTTTTTAAAAGGTATGTTTTCTTAAGGTGAATCAAAGTTTTACTTAAATCAGATCAAAACTAGTGTTGTAGGAAGACTGCCGTTTTGAAAGTATTAAGATTATAAATGTACATCAGCTGTCTCGTTTAAAGTCATCATTTCGTAAGTTCTATGGTCGATACAATAACCTTGTCAGCAAGTACAATTTATCAATGAGTCAAATGCTGACTGACATTTTTCATACTAATCGTTAGGCCATTATTTACACACTGAATTGTCGACGGATTTTTCCGTTATTTCCTGATCATGACAAGGAGCACACGGCGGGTGTGACCGGTCGGCAGGGGATTCTCACTCCTCCATGGCACCTGATCCCACCTCTGATGTTTGGAGGTCCGTGTTTGCTCTGCTCCTATTTTGTATTGTTTAATGGACTTTTGAGCTTGAATACCGTTCGTTATCGCCATATATTTCATATTATATCGAAATTACGCAAATACATTAGAAACCTCGATATCACTATTTAAAATAACTTTACGAGTATATACTAGTATAAATCAAGTATTAGTAACATGACAACATTCTGTCATGTCCTAAATTTTGAATTTACCGGGTGGGAGTAAATACAAAATTCAGAACATGAAAACTAGTTGTCATGTTCTAAATGTTTTGTATTTACTCCCACCCGGTAAATTCAAAATTTAGAACATGACAATTCTATCGACATGAAACCCACGGAAAACATCCTTCATAACATTAAAAGAAAAGTCAGTATACTGATTATGTATTTTTTTGATAAGTGTTATTGTTTACCAGTTTATATTAAAATTGGACCAAAATTAAAGGAGCAGTAACAATTTAAAAGAATTTCAGGTTACTTAATTTAATGTAAGTTACCATTACCAAACCTGTCTTGATAATCGAATCGAGAGAATTATGTAAATGCAACTTTGTGTACTCTGCTTTATAAATGTTATTGAGAGCAGAACCAAAAACTGCAGAGAAGTATTGTGAAAGAAAAAAAACAAATAAAGGTTGACAGATGGATTCTTTACCATCGCATATTCCCCTCCCCTTCTCAATTTACGACCAGTAAAGCTAACACAAAGTAAGTACTTTGAAAAGAGGTTGGACCTTATTTACATTTAAGTGTCTAGAAAAGTAAAAATTTTAATGTTTAGGCCACCTGTAAAATAATGTTTGTTTGCCCTCTCCCGACTCAGGATGAAAAAATTGGGTCGGTAGGTAGGTAAAAACAAAATTTTTTCAGAAAATTTCAATTTCATTTTTTTTAAAATCTATTGTCCAGAATACATAAAAAAAATTGCTTCCTGGAAGTTAAAAAAAGTTTTTGCCAGTCGGTCGGGAAAGGGCAACCAAACAATTTTTTAAAGATGGCCTTATCTAGTATGAAGTAAGATTTTTTTGTCTTTTATTAATTATTTTTACATACATAATTGGTTGTAACTAGACATGTATTAAATAATTGCTTTCCAGGAATGGATGGGTTTGTGTCTTACTATTATACAAAACCAGACTGGTACACATTCACGATAACAGCATATAACCTCGTAGGAAATAGCACGCTTGTATTAAATCTTCCGGTACAGATTCCTATTTCCGGTTTCTTTATCAATGATACTGACCCTATTCCCTTTGGAACATCAAGGGCAGTTCCAGTAATGACAGACACTGGTTCTCATATAGATATGGAGGTCTCCATGAATGGATCTCTTCTGAATACATCGTATTTTGATTGGACATTGAGTTCTGGTGAGGCTATTATAAACACAGTCAACTACAACTGGACAGGATATTACCTAATTGAAGCAAATATCACAAACCTCGTCAGCTCTATCCATTCATTTGAAAGAGGGGTTTGGATAGACTTTCTAATAACAAATTTGTCAATAAATAATGACAGACCGTACGTACCTGTGGGCGAGAATACAACGTTTGATATCGGAATGGACTATTGCTCTCGGTTTAATTCATCTATTCTGTATGCAGATGCTTCACCTCTTGAATCCATGTATATGGATTTGATTGTTAGCCCACAAAGGTACAGCTTTTCACATATCTTTACTGCACCCGGAATATATGGTGTTAACTTTTCAATAGTGAATCCTGTAGATTATCACTCTAGCACTCATAATGTATTTGTGCAATATCCCGTGAAAAATGTCGAGGTTTTTATGAGTACTCCAGTGAAACTTGAACCAGTCGGTTTTGTCCCTGTGAAGTTTGTGTTAACATTCTTAGGTGGTGTTCCTCTTGCAACGGATGCAAGCTACAATGTGGACTTCAACGATAGTAGCACAACGACAGACCTATTTGAGGAACCCCCAGCCCCAATAACAACAGCTCTACCAACTGAAGAACCAAAGACAGAACTGGATTGTGCTGCACTTTACGATTTACTTCAACAATCTCTAAATTCATCCGATTTTGATGGAAACAACAGCACAAACATAACAACTCCAACTACGATAACGGAAGAAGAATACCAAATTCTTTGCAATACTTCTATAACAACAGAGTATACAACTTCCATGATTATTACAACACCTTCCCGTATGGAAGGTTTCTTTGAAATAATTTTTTTTCATGACTACACACAGCATGGAACATACGATGTTTCCATTAATATCTCAAACTTGGTGGATTTTAAATTCTTTCCATTGATTCTGAACGTTGATGAACCTATCTACGATCTAGATTTTACACCGAATATTGTATATGTACCCATTAGAACAAATTCGGACCTTGTTGTCAGCATGTCATGGGGTTCCCGAGCAGAATGTACAATTAATGTTGGTGATGGATCACCAAGTTATGTTCTTCCATGTAACCGATCAAACCCAATGTCTGTAACGCACTATTTTGATACAGTCGGTGTTTATTATGCTCATGCAACTGGGAATAACACAGTCAGTACAGAATACACTTCTTCTTCTTTGGGACCCATTTACGTGCAGATTCCCGTTTCTGGATTTGAGGTGATATGTCTGGTTTGTTCAAATGATATTGGTCCTCCCACTTACTCAACATATAATACAAGTGTGAGTTTTGAATTCCTGTTCGACAAAAGCCAGGAGAGACCAACCAATGCATCCTATACGATTGACTACGGTGATGGGACAAAAACGCCAGTACAAGCTTTACCAGAAACTTTTGCAGACGACAATTACGGTGGTGGAAAATCTCTTGTGTTCCGTTTCCAGCATTTTTATTTAAAAGGCGGTAACTACACTGTAATTGTTAATGTATGGAATCTAGTAAGTAATGTCAATTTCACATGTTTACATGATCTTTATGAAGCGATTGTCAATCTACGTGTAACAATTTACGATTACGACCAAGACACCGGTGTTTCGAAGATAGGGGGTGGTCCAAACAACAACTATTTTGCTCTGGAACATCAAGTCCTTTTCGTTGCTTCACATGATAGAGGATCCCATGTTACGTACCACTGGGACTATGGAGATGGTTCAGCTCTAGAATCTATATATTACAATCAAAACACCTTTCATGAATACCCTAATGATACTACATTTCACATTATTTTAAACGCAACAAATAAATTTGTCCAAAATCACGCCAATACAGGAACAACAATACATATCCAGAGGGGTTGCTTTAATATCTCAATATCTACTGACGACCCTCGATCAAAGAACACAACATTTGAGTATCAGATGTTTCCGGGTACCATTGGCTCTGACGCATGCTACTTTTTCGACTTCAAGGATGAAACATCTGAACCAAGTCGGTACTTGATGTTTGGCGATTCAAGCTTTTGTGCTTTGGTTCCAGAATGGAACTGGTACTGGAGCGATCCAAATAAAGAATTCATTTCCCGTCCATCTGATCCATGGTATGCAAATAAACTGGCAAATCCCAACAACTTTAACATAACAATACACAATGCATTCATGTTTGAAGGTGCCTACGATGCAACGCTTGAATGCAAAAACTACGTTTCACATACCAGTGTGATATACACCACAGGTGTAACAAAGGGTCCATGTTGGTGGCCCTATGTCAACTTGACAGCCCCAAACATTTGTCAGCCACCCGCTTGTGATTCTGTTTTCCCTGAAATGAGAACAAATCTAAAATCTGAGAAGCTGATTGTATATTCCGATGTTATTATTAACTGTACATCAACTAAAGTTGCTTACTATTCCTGGTCGGTTTTCAAAATCGATGAAATTTATGGAAACGAAACTCAGATCACAGAACTTGGAGGTGCTGATGTGTATTCCATAGGAGCAAGGTATTTGCAGTTGGAACCACGTATCCTGGATTATGGTCTATATAGATTTGAGTTAAACGTTAGCATGAATGAATTGATGGGAATGTTTTCTATCGATTCTGTGAAACTGAGAATAGTGGCTACGCCATTGAAAGTGTCCATTGCTGGTGGAGACTTTATACAGACACAATGGGGAAGTGAGACCCCTTTAGTTCTTGATGGTTTTACAGAAACCTTTGACCCTGATGTAGCACCAGAAGACAAAAGTGGAATGGAGTTCATATGGATATGTAGACGGTTGTGTGAAAACTGGCCAACGTTTGACGCAGATTATAATCCAACCTCGATATTTACTCATAATTGCACATACCAAGATGATGCTGATAGAGGTTGTTCAAAGATTGACATGCTTGATTCACCAGGTATGTATAAATTGTTAGAAATTAAGCAATAAAAATAGATTTATATTATTTTTGATTTGTCATAATGTTTATTTTTTGACAACTCGTAATGTTCAGCATTTTTGAAACGTCATTTCGTTGTTTTTTTTTCCAAGATATAAAATTATTTCAAACAAGCGTTAATCATTTTTGCAGGAAAAATGCCTAATGCATCTGACGGTGAGGTTACCATTTATACTGGAGAAATGTATGAATTGGATTACGTTGAAATAAAACTCATCGTGCGAAAAGACAACAGAGTAGCGGAGGATTATCTAGTCATGTTCATAACAATGGGAAATCCTCCAATTATTAAAATAAAGTAAGAGTAGAGGTTTATTTTTCGATTACACAAGCAATAAAAAGGGAACACTTGAATTGAATTATAATTACACATTTATTAATGTATTTTAGCCCGCGTGGCACAGTGGTTAAAAAGTCTGCTCTAGAGTCGCGGAGGAGTTGATCCTTATTTTGCGGGTTCAAATCCCACTGTGGGACGTGGAGACCGGTCCTTCGGATGAGACCGTATAAACCGAGGTCCTGTGTCGCAGTAGATGCATGAAAAAGATCCCTCACTGTTAAATGGCCCTGAGTGCCGAGTATAGGTCAAAATTTGTAGCCCTCCACCGGCGAGTGGTTGCGTCTCCGTAAAAGTGAAAGATTCTTGAGAGGGACGTTTAACAACAAACAAACAAACAAATTAATGTATTTTATTTATCTAATTTATAGATGCGTCACTAACTGTGGTCCAAAAATGAATCCAACTAGTCGCTATTCTCTTGAGTCTCAAATTGATGGTTGGACAAGAGGAGCATTTTTCTACTACAGGTAAACATTTCTCCGACAGTAAGAAAGATAATTCGAGATATGTACTACTTCTTTGTCGTCTTCAAGTTGTTTCCAACCCACCTGCACTTGGTTATTCAGAATCGAAATAAATTCATAATGTAGTTAACCTCAAACATTTTCAGCTTCTTCACTGGAACCACTGAACCTATTTCAACTAATTTTTGCAATTGGTAAAGGGAAACACAAAATTATGAATTTCATTCTCCCTGGGGACTGAGGGATTGGGCCATTATCATCATAATTAATGCGCTCTTTAAAAATCTTATTAACACCTGAACACCATGCAATCAAATTTTTTCCGTGATATAATTAGCATTTTACCCTCTAGGCTCTAACAAATTGTAAAATTTATGACCCAGGGTCAGGATGGTTATTAAGTGGACGCTATGGATCATATAGTGAAAATGCATAAATGATCAAAAATATCTTCTCTCCCCCTGTAAATAAGTAGACAAACTAAGTGCATAGATACTAAGAGCAAGAGTGTCTCTTCCAAAAGTGTGAATTTCAAGGGTCAGGGGGTTCTGATGATAGGTCCAGGCTCTATTGATCATAGAGTGAAAATGCATCAATTTTTTTTGAAAATCTTCATCTCTGTAGCAAGAATCTACATGTACAATGTATATGATTTAAGGGATTTGGATTTCAATCATTTTCAAGACATATATTTTACTCATTATAAAGAGAGGATGGGTTTCTCTTTGGGCACTTGCCCAATAGAATTCTTAATGCATCTTGACTTAAGGCAAGAATCTATGCAGTTTAGGGATGGGGATCTAAATCATTTTCAAGATCATTAACATTAGCAATGACCCTAACTATAATGTCCCACTCCTCCCCATCCCCTCCTGAATCTAATTTACATGAATTACATGGATTAAATGTTTAAACTGTTGAAGTGTTTACTTTCAGTATTTACTCTGTCTCCTTGATTGTGATATGTTTTAGCTCTCCTGAGCCGAAGGCTCAAGTGAGCTTTTTGATCGAAATTTGTCCGTTGTCTGTCGTCGTCGTTGTTGTCGTCATTGCAAACTTTTCACATTTTCATCTTCTTCTTAAGAACCACTAGGCAAATTTCAACCAAAAAGTATCCTTGGGTAAAGGGAATACAAGTTGGTTCAAATGAAGGGCCACGCCTTCTTCCAAGGGAAGATAATTACGAATTTGTGAAAAATTAATGTCATTATTCAAAAAAATCTTCTTCTCAAGAACTACTGTGCTGGAAAATATGAAACTCATGTAGAAGCATCCTCAGGTAGTGTGGAATAAAGTTTGTTCAAATCATGACCCCGGGGGTAGGGTGGGGTAACAATGGGCGATCAAAGTTTTACTCCGGGTTACATAGGGAAAATCTTTAAAAATCTTCTTCTCAAGAACAGCAAAGCCATGGTTGGTCATATTTATATGGAAGCATCCTCAGGTAGTGTGGAATGTAGTTTGTTCAAATCATGACCCTTGGGGGTAGGGTGGGGCAACAATGGGCGATCAAAGTTTTGGATAGGAATACATAAGAAAAAATCTTTAAAAATCTTCTTCTCAAGAACAACGAAGTCATGATTAGTCATATTTATATGTAGTGTAGAATCAACTTTGTTCAAATCATAATCCTCTGTATTAGGGTGGGGCCACAATGGGCGATCGAAGTTTTACATAGGAATTCATAGGAAAAATCTTTAAAAATCTTCATCTCGAGAACAGAAAAGCCATGATTGGTCATAATAATATAAAAGCATCTTCAGGTAATGTAGATTCAAATTTGTTCAAATCATGACCCCCAGGGGTATAGAGGGGCCACAACAGGGGATCATAGTTATACAAAAGAATATAAAGGATATATAAATAAAAATATACAAAAGAATATAAAGGATATATAAATAAAAATTATTCTTAAGAATAGTAAAGCCAGTATGTACCATATTAATGCAAAAGCATCCTTAGAAAGTGTAACCCCCCCCCCCCCCCCCGAACCACTTTTATATTTAAACTTTACATTACTGAACTGATTTCTGCTTTTTCCTAGCCAAAGTTCTCAGGTGAGCGATGTGGCCCCAGGGCCTTTCGTATATGAATTGGGAGGCTTTTGGACCTATTTGTTTGATGAAACATTTAAAAACTACACCAAGATCAATGCATGAGGTACATGTATGTCTTCAGAAATCATACATGCATGCAACTTTCTGTACAATATTTAATTATGCCATGCACTCATACTGGACTCAGTGAATATAATGCATGTACTGACCATTATGCTTAAGTGGATGAGCACATCTCTGTATGAATTAAATACAAACTGTCACTGAATGCCAGTGACTTTACAGCAGAGATCTGAGTTTCCAAAAGTGAAAAGCAAGGTACATGTATATCTTGCAAATTGATGGTTAAATTAATTCTATGTAGTACTTATGTCATATATTGCAAGAATTTAGTGTACTAGCTATGTTTATAATCTGAAGAAGTGGCACAAGTAATATGATTGCTAGGGTGGAGATTATCAACAAGTTCAACTTACTCTTAAAATATTTAATCATTTCTGACTAAATGGGGGTAAAGATGACCGAAACAAAATTCATGATCTTTTGATTATTAATAAATTTGATGTCAGAAGGAATAAATAATTATACATGTATATGGATGACATTCACAAACTTTAGGATTATTGACACTATTAATTTTTTATTGAACATTTATGACCATTTACACCAATAACTTTGTTTTGACACAAAGAGCAGTTGCACCCTTAATGCAGAAAAATACATGTATTAAATGTTTCATTATTTAGCATTTATATAAACACAAATAAATCATGTGAAGTGGGTGTATGTATAAAACATTGATCCATACATAATATTGATGGAAAAACCCACTTTTTGAGAAACTTCTTTCATATAGATGACTTAAAAAGGGTTCTAATTAGTTTTATAGTTAATTGATTATGTAATGAGAATCCGCTTTCTTATTAAATAAAAAGTGTATTTAATAATAAGAGTATTAAAATAAATAACATTAACTCTGTCTTGATACAAGGAACAGAAAGGTTTTATTTCAGAAGGATGGTACTGACCCCACGTTTACACCCACACATGACTAAATGCTTACTGACAAAAATACAAACCTTGTTATCTGGAACTCGATGGGACCGCAAAAGAGATACATGTATCAGAGGGTTTAAGATATTGAGTGTAAAATACTTAAAGAAAAAGTGTTTTAGACTTCCATATCACTTCGACATATCCATGGTATTCGAGTTTCGGTGTTCGAGAGAGACCTATATTTAAGTTCAGCTGTATATGTTAAAGGACCATCTTTAGAATTCTAATTCAATGGTAAATTTGTGCAGTTGGAGTGATCTGCCATTTGATGTGAAAACTGTAATCTATATTTGTTTATCAATTTAGTATTCTAAAAATTAAAAATAATTTGAAACTTTATTGATTGTATTTTCCCCCATCAAAGAAACTGGGGGGATAAGCCGAGCCATATGCCTACATAACGATCGATAAAAAATCAATAAATTCATTTTACAAAAATTTCACTTTTTGTTGAATTAATGTAATGCTTATTACCATTTGCATACAAATTTGACAAAACCTGAATACTGTAACAGTGAAAATGATTCTGATTAACACAAAAAAAATGGCATCACGCTCAATTTTCACAAAAACTGACATAAATTGGATGATATAACTACATTTTTTAAATAGAGTGGGTCATCGTACCATTTTTTTCAGAACGATTAATGAAAGGCAATGGAAAGATGTTGCTTTTTACACTTGCAAATATTTGGTACGAAGACCCACTCTACATAAAAAATTAAGTTAACTTACTTAAATTTTCACCGTGGTCTTAAAAAATTCTAAGTCCAAATACGCTTGCTAAATATAGAGAACTGTATGCTATTTAAATGGGTATGTATGTGTGACTCCGTGGTACAGTGGTTAGGGAGGAGCTCTTTAAAGGGACGTTTATTGAGGAAAGTGTTCGAGTCATGCTCTGATTTTTTGATTTTGTTTTTTGTTTTTTTTTGTTTTCTTTGGTTTTAATTTTGTTTTACTTTATAAAAAATGTCTATAGGAATAACATATTTTTCACTGGAAATAAAATATATACATGTAGTAATGAACTTATTTACAGTAAATTATTTAAAATGCCGGATAAAAATTATAATAGATATTTGAATACTTTTATTCCCGTTCTTATTTATTTTAAATAAAAGCGCTTCTAGATCACCATTATCATTATAAACGATGTTAACACTTTTATAATATCTCCACAATAAGTGTAAACACTCAATATGCAAATTAATTAATAGAAGTCCTTACCCATGTTAGACATTTGTGACAGTAAATGAAAGTCAACTGTTTAGCTTGTTTAGAATATACATATCATTTTGAAAACTACGTTAAACGTTAAAATGCTTAAGTAAACTCGAACAATTGAGAGATTTTTTCCAATAAATGTTCTTGCATAGCCGAAAAATGGGCATGGGCACATGGCACGTCTTATCCCCCCAGATTCTTAAGTAAGCAAAAGTCATTTGTATCAATCAAGAAAGCTGTATCTTTGAAGTCTGTCATTAAATTGTGTCAAAAATTTGACAAATGAACAAGAGTATTTAAAGGATTATTTAAATAACACAAACACCATGTGCAAATCAGAAGCATAGTAAATTAACTAGTACCACTGTTAATCAGGAATGGTGTTGTATACTAAAGCGCTGTAATTGGCGCAGATCTACAAATTTTTAAAAGGGGGGGGGGGGGTAATTGAGGCAACTATGCCAGGGAACCAGATGAATTTAGGATGAGGGTTTACTTTGGCGAAGTTAATCGCGGTTACCCTGGGTGGGTTTGGAAGGCCCTCCAGCTCCAACCACACAATATACTGATATGTGGATATTTATCGTTTTCAAAAAGTGCCATTTTCACTTATTATACCCCGCTCCAAAGTAGAAGTGGGTATACTGTTTTACCCTTGTGTGTCTGTCTGTCCGTATGTCTGTTTGTGTGTCCGTGTGTCTGTCCGTAACAAATTTTAGTCGCAGTTTTCTCAGCAATTACTCATCGCTGATGCTTGAAATTTTAACACACTCTTTGTTTAGGCATGCCATATGGTGGGATTCATTTTTGTGAGAATCCGATGACAACTTCCTGTTTATCCGTGCGTATCTCCGTACAATACATAACAAATTTTGGTCACAGCTTTCTCAGCAACTATTCATCGTAGATGCTTGAAATTTTAACACTCTCTTTGTTTAGGCATGCCATATGGTGGGATTAATTTTTGTGAGAATCCGATGTCAACTTCCTATTTATCCATGCGTCTGACCGTGCCATAAATTACATATTTTGTTTGCAGATCTCTCAGGATCAGCAACTACTTATTGCAGATGTTTGAAAGTTTAGCAGACTCATTGTTTTAAGCATGTCATATGGTGGGATTCATTTTTGTATGAATCTTATGTCAACTTCTTGTTTATCCCTGTGTCTGTCCAAAAATGAACTTGTGTATTCACATCAGAGCGGGGGTATTATTAATGAGCATTGGCTCACAGACTTCTTGTTAATGTTCAATTTCATCTAAATTGACACACACTAAAAAAATTATTTGTTTCTTTGACAACAAAGTCATCATCTTCCAATCATAGACTGATTTTTTAATATTAAAAAAAAAAAAATTCAAAAAATCTTTCTTAAACAGAGTTTACTTCATGAAAATCTTCAATTTCAGACCGGTAATAAATTTATTATTTGAAATACTATTACGCCTCATTACATTATTACGCCCTTTTTCGCGTTATTACGCCTTTTAACTTTGCGTTATAAGGCCTTTTAAATTTTTTCGCTGTAGATTGATCATATTAAATTGGCTTTTGTACATTTGTTCTTCAATTCACATGGTAAATCCGTTTAATATGTTTTATATTTCATTATATTTACAAATTTTGCCAAAGTTTCTTGGGAGTATAAAGTTCAGTTTGCTTACATCATGGTCCAAGGACGAATAGTCGTACCTAAACAGAGTCAAAGTTTAATATCATAAAAGTAGTGTATTGTTTTGTGCCATCTTATTTCATTTTTGTTAATTTGTAGATGGACGCTATATGGTGTTCCCTGGGGAAGTAGGTATTACTTCAATAGAAGGCTGATCTCGGAGTCTGAATGGATAAGCCAAGCTACTACCGGCTCTGAAGGACCACACATGGCGATAGAGCCTGTTGTTCCACGTTTCACCACAAACAGCTCTTACAGCTATTACTTCTCTGTCAAAACCTGGAGATGGGGAACGAGTGAGGCATATTGTGGTATGGTTATTCTTACAATTTACTTAGCATTTTATTTTGAATGTAATTTTTTTTAAACGGAAAAAAAACAATTCTTCTCCCTTGAGTTTCCCGTTTCCATAAAAAGGGTTTATTAGTAACGTTAATTTTTCAAATGAAATCAAGTTTTTATCGTATATATAAAATAATTCATTCATTGATCATATGCAGGTGTGACTGTTGATCAAAAGTTGAAAATAAAACTTGCACTTAAAATCAGCACGTTAACGTTCTAGTATATTTAAACTTTGTAAGTGTCTATAGATCATTTTTCATATTCAATACCTCTTTTCTTTCTTTTAATAACAAGTCGTATAATTATTTCATTTTTATATTTATTGATCTTTGAATGGATATGATTTTAGCTTAAAAGCTTACTTGTTGGAGTGGAATTCATTTTAAGTTAGAAATGTGAACAAAGTTGATAGTGCTTTAAAAAGATACTTGCAAACTAAACTCCCATTTCGAAAGGATATTTTTTTAAAAATAATTCATTAACTAAGGAATAGCAAGAAGATTAAACAGTTTTTTATGGTTCTTAATTAATGATAAAGATGAATCAAATGATAGGTATTTCGGAGATCAACTTTAAAATCAATGAAAAACCACGGGCTGGGAAAGCTACTGTATCTGTTTCCCCTGGCTCCGGTATCGCTTATGAAACAAAGTTTGCTGTGTCTGCAAGTGGATTCACTGACTATGAGGACGGTTCCAGCATGAGCTTTTACAAGTTTGGCTATAGATTACAAGCAGGAAGTCTAATAACGTGGTTCCACGAAGGAAGTAAGCTTTTCTTCCATCTTGTAGTATCGTCAAAAATATTTATACTGAGTGAATGAATACCTGTGTATTTTTATGATATACGATTAATTTTATTTTTGAACAGCGAAACGTAATAACCTTGGCTTCGAAAATCCATTTCCAGCCGGACTGGAGTCCGAAAACTTCCAAATTAATATTGTTGTCAGAGCTTATGACCGAAGTGGAGCATATGCACAAAAGTGGAAAACAATTACGGTAATGATATATGAATAGATATTGTCACCGTAACCAACAGTGTTTATTGCATGATCTTTTCTATATTTCATCGTAAGTGCAATTCCTTATGACAAGGAAACTTAATGACCCTGAACTAGGGTTAAGGTTGAAAAGGTCAGATCACAATGCAGATGTATATTACATGTAGGAACCTTGAATCAAGATCACTGGTCAAGGACTAGAGGGTAAAAAAATTTTTGTACATTAATTTTTTTATTGAAAAACACAACAATCGTATATGCATGAAGGCTCAAAATGTCATGACTCCATCTAGGTTGCAAAAATTCTATTGAACCTAAATTTCAACTGAGAAAACAAAGAGGTCATACTTGGCAAAAAGAATTTTCTAATAAGCTGTAGGTCTGGTGTAATTTTTCATGATCATTTGGAGAAATTATTTAAGGTCATGGTCTATCGGGTCACATGACTCACAAATTTAAATTCTTATTTATCTGAATCTAATCAAAGTCGTGATTCAGTTGAATATTTATATAAATGTTACTTATTGTGTTAAAATTGAATTCTGCTCAAAAAATGTTATAGAACAAAAAATGATGATTGGGACAATACATGTAATTTCTTGTCGTGAATACATTTACTACAAGTATATGATTGAAAAATTCCAAGTTCCAAGTCCAAGCTGAGATCCTAAATTATAGAAGTCATGTTATATTCACTTGCATGAAGCTTCCAGGGGGACATAGCATTTTTTCTGCGTTGGACCATAAAAGGACGAGAATTTCCAAATTGAGACAATAAATATGAAAACTTATGATCACCTGCATCCGACCAATCAGTTGAACATACATGTAATGCTTATTTTTTCTACATTGGGCCAAACTTCTAAATTGATACAACTGGTTATATTATGAAAAGTTATTTCACCTGCATCTGATATCCAAGTGAACATAACCTTATTTTTTCCACATCGGACCCCCCCCCCCCCCCAACATAAAATCAATAAATTCCAAATTGATATATAACTGGATTATTTCAACTCCGCTTCTCTCACTGTTTGGTAGGACTTCAACAAATGAAAACAATGAAGATAGATGGCAAGGTTTGCTTAACGAGTTTTTATCAAGTAATCAAACAATAAAACAATTTATATATTGCTGTTTTTTTTAAAGAAAATACTATGATAAAACATTCCTCAAATACAATATTCTCTTAATTGCCTCTCGGGCTTGGTGAGTATTGTACTCTTCGGTTAGCTAAATCATCGTATTTACCTCAAGGTTCACGAGATGAAAAATGTTGTTTTATTCAAAATAGAAGTCATTTCTTTTGTAATATACATGTATATGCAGCAACTTTTAACGTAATTGTGTTAAACGTTTGCCACACAACATACATTAAATTTATACAGTGGAGACCAAACTTTGAGCAAACCGTTAAGGTGAAGTCGTCTGCGTTCGGGGGTTCGGATCTCGCTGCGGAACGTGAAGACCGGTCATTAGTTAAATAACCAAGGTCGCAATAAGATGCGCAAAAAGGTCATTTACTGCTCAGTGCCGAGTACCGGACTATATTTACAATTATGGCGGCCTAACATGAGTGAAAAATTCTCAAAGGACCGTAAAGCAAGCAAACCAAACAATCGTCAAAATATTTGCCTATTGCATGTATACATATACGTAACTAGAATGTATATCATCTTTTTTAGGTTCAACCACCACAACCATCAAACGTAAAGAACGTCATTGCCACTGCTACAGAACCTGGTGGACAAATTGACAAATATCTTATAGGAGCTGACATTCGAGTAGCACCTATGTCTTTGAGTCTCGCCAAATTTCTCAACGAAGAGGCAGATGGTGCGCTGAGTGCTGCTCAAGTTGTTGAAACAACAAGTAAATCAAACTCAAATACATACATGTATACATGTGTTGATGAAACGTATCAGTAAACCCTCATGTATTTCTTTTTTATTCACAACTACTACTCTACTCGTTGCTAGAACAACAGATTATATTGTAACTAATTTGAGTCGAGAGCTTCGGAGTAACTCTTTCTTAGTTTGAAAGTACTAGTAATCGGCACGATTCCTTCAAAGTCTTCCAATATAAATAGTTTATACATAGTTTTTCCACTTAAGTAATCCCTTTTTCAAGCAACGCTAAATAAATGTCAACTTTTTTACCCCTTTATAGTCGCAATGAAATGCAAAAGCAGTAAAGGTTTTACAATTTCTCTAAATCTTTCTGGTTTTAATCAGTAAATAAGCTAAATATTAATTTAAAAAATGAAGAAAATATGTTTTTTTTTCCTTCTACAGCTTCCATTGCACAGGCTCAAAATCTTACAGAATCGGAGCGGCTTGCAATGGAGCAAGCAGTTCTACAACAACAAGCAACAGAAAAAGCAAACCGTATTCAGGTATGTATCTCTTCAAATTTCTGTTATGTTGTCAATTCGCGATTGAAAAGACCCACTGCTTGGATGGTAATCTCACTGCCATTGTGGTCCTTAAATCTTCATTGTTTCAGATGTATGTAATATTTTTTCACGGGATTTAATTTTAGACGCGGGCTACTCTTTTGAATGGTTTTAAAAGAATCAATCCTTCTAACGTGGAAGCTATGCAAGGGACCGCAGCAGCACTCGCGGAAATGTCTGTGAAAGAGGACGAACTGACAACAACAGCTCAAGTAACCTAAACTCAATTGTTTCAACGCATTTATAAAAACTTTTTTTTTTTATAATTAATGACTTTTTTTCTTAGAGTTATTGTTTCATGATGAGCCAACAATTCCACACTGAAATGATAAATAACTGATAAGATAGCGGATCTAAAATTTAAATACACAAATCATCATCTTGATCGGAAAAATATAAGTGTTATTTGGGAACAATGCCATAAATAGGTTTTATTGCCGCCGCCCCCCCCCCCCCCCTAGGATATAGATGTACATCTATGATATATAGGACAAATCTATCTAGATAGTTAAAACGAATGTTTCGAGCATTAAATTAAAATATTTTCTGCAAGTTAAGAAGGTAGATATCTTCTTGATTACCAACAACTTATTGATAAAATTTCAATTATATACCTATCGCAATTTTTTTTTCTCTGAACAGGAAGACGCTGCCAGTATAATGGAGGATTATGTGGTAAAGCTGAAAGCGCAGACGAGTCTATCAGCAGATGACAGGGAGGACGCCACGTCTAACCTTATATCTGTCATAGGTCAGATTATTTATATCTGTCGTACATGTAGGTCAGGCTACTACATTAATTCTGTCATAGATGTACGTCAGCTTATTACCTTATACGTGTCTCTGTCATGGATCAGATTATCACCTAAATATCTGTTAAAGGTCAAGTTACTATCTTGTATCCGTCATAGGTCAGATTGTAACCTCATATCTGTCATAGGTCAGGTTACTAACTTATATCTGTCATAGATCAGGTTACCATCTTATAAATCTGTCATAGGTCAGGCAACTACATTAATTCTGTCATAGGTCAGCTTATTACCTTATATATATCTGTCATCGGTCAGGCAACTACATAAATTCTGTCATAGGTCAGCTCATTATCTTATATCTGTCATAACTCAGGTTACTACCTTATATCTGTCATAGGTCAGCCTACAACCTTATATCTTTCATAAGTCAGGTTAATTACGACAGATGTGACCTGCCAACAGGGCATGCTTACTCCTCCTGGACACCTAATCCCACATCTGGACTTTCCGGGGGTTCGTGTTTTAAGCCCTTTCACAGATTTGTATTGTTTGTTGATGTTTTTAGATTGATAACTGTTCGTTATCTTCACTTTTATCAGGCTTACAGTTACATGTATGAGCTGTCGACCAACCCTTTTTAATTTTTATAGTCATAATCATTGTTGAAGGAAGAGGTGTTTCATTTCTTTGTTTAAGTATGTAAACATGTATACCCGAGCCAGAAGCGGATCAAATCAAGCTGCTGTGGACTGTCGTTGTCTTATGTTTTTTTTTCGTTTTTGTATTTTGTAATTTTTTTCTTTTGCATTTTTAAACTCCTTCTAAGAATCGTTTTGATATTTTCAAAATCACTTGCTAGGATGTATCCTTGAGTGAAGGGAATTTTCTTTTATGTTCAATCGAAGAACCAATTCAAATATTAAGGGAATATAATTACAAACTGATTAAAAGTATTTTTATTTACATGGACTGCTGGTTAAACGAAAAGAGAAATCATTGTCATTTTAAACTGAAACCTGCCTACAAATCTTTCTAGTTTTGATATTCGCTACGTCAAATTTCATTGCTAGGCAAGGATACCAACTTTACAAATATTGCGCTTTTAAAGTTTGTGGACTAAAAATAAGTCCCTTTTGTATTGTAAACTTTTGATATAAGGTACATTTTGTTTGACAATTTATTGTTGTTTTTTTTAACAAATTAAACTTCAGAGTTGAAACCTTTTGCCGTTATATTTCGGTAGACAGTTGTACAAACTAAGCCCATTATTTTTATCATAGTAAAAAAGATTCGATTGCCAGAGCGTACTCCATTTTTAACCATCTGAATAATGATATAATAATTCTCGGAATTGCAACAATGCTAGAAAAAAAAACAAAATTATAAGTAAACCAAAAAGGAAAAGGTATGAAAATTTTGAAACAATGTTTCGAGTTTTCTGGTAGGTAACACAATGCATGCCGCTGGATTGACCGCTGAATTAGCCGAAGAAGAAAGCACGAATTTAGCCAATATGGTTGAATCCGCGACTGCTGGGATTGTATCTACAACACAAGCCACCACTCTCTCTCCAGAACAAATAAAGGCCCGCCAGGATCAGTTGTTGAATGAAAAGAATAGTGTACGTAGAATTGTATTGTCAACTTTTAACTCAAACCTTGACATTTTCTCTTCAGTATATATAATGGTTGATCTAGGCATCAGATATTTCCATGTTATTTTATGTACCAAAATGTATCCGATATCAAGATAAGCTGAAAGATTTGTACATTTTGTACAAGTTTTGTTTTGTTTCTTTTACCTGGGTCACATTTAAGCCGATGGTCGGGTTACCATTTTTTTTCTTCTCTTCGGCTGAATGTGTAGATCGGCTGACACTAGTATCATGCGATGCAGAGAAGTCACATTAATTCCTGTGAATACTGACAACTTTAAAAGTTT